GTCCTTCTGGCAAGGGCCTACCCATCCTTTTCTTTCTGCACTCAGCAGCCTGGCTTTTTTCTATCGGAGGTTTGTTTGAAGTGTGTGGAAACCCCAACCTCCTTGTCATTCCACCCTGGGCCTTCCCATCTGCTGCTGCCTCTCCCTCTCCCCTGTGTCGTCTGCCACTGGTGTGGCTTTCTTTGCTTTTTCGTCCTTTCCCCCTGGTCTGCCTCCATGTGGGTTTGGGCTGTCACTGTGTGTCAGACCCTGTGCTGGGGCATGACTCTTCCTCCTGGCAACCCTGTGACATGGGTGGGTACCTAAGCACCGTTATCACACAGCTGCACGGTACGTGGGACCTAGGGTACAAGGCATAGTCCATCATCAATAGTATGTCCCAGGAGTTGGCAGCCTGTGACCAAATCTGACTCGTGGCCTATTTTTGTATGACGCTGCAAGCAAAGAATAGTTTTTAAAGAGTTGCAAGAAAGAAGACCTGTTGTGGCCTTCAAACCTAACCTGCTTCCCATCTGTCCTACTGGAACGCATCTTACCAACTCTGGTATGTAATATGCAGAGTTAAGCACAGATTCTGGACTTGCCTAGAGCCTCCATTATATCATCTGTAAATATGAGAATAATCTGTAAGTCATGGCCGCCTCACACAGCTGTTAGAATTAAAGCATGCAGAGGAGGGAGCTGACCCCGAGTGAGCTTTCTTTGAAAGTATTGGGAAGGATATTTCTGAGCCCCTGCCAGGCTTCCTGACCCAGTGGGTGTGGAAGTCCCAGCTCGAGACTTCCGGCTACCCCTGCCCTGAGTGTGGCTTCCTCGGACTGTGTTCCCTTTGGCAGGAGGAGAGGGACCTGCCAGCTTCCCGCTGTGCCTCATCCTGCTGGCAGGTCAGCTCTGCCTTCCTCCCACCCCCGTCCCTGCTGGCGGTCAGCTGGTGCCACTCACCAGGGCCGGGCACAAAGCCCACACCAGGTGCCGAACAAGGCCCAACGGTACCAAGCCCCTTCCAATCCCCGACCTCAAGCCCCAGATCGCCTGGCTGGAACTCCTGCTTCACTGTAGGAGGGGTGGCCTGGGGTCCATCCTCTCTGTGTGCATTTCCTCATTCGCGGGCCAAACAGGCTGACATCTGTGTTTCCCCAGACCCAAGCCCTTGGCCAGCGAGTGCCTTCCTACTAGGGAAGAGGAAAGGGAAGGTGATCCCAGCCCCGCCGACTCCCTCTCCTGAAGGAGCAGTCCGCAAAACCAATTTTCAGTGGACAGTGAGATAAATATAAAGACTTAAGAATTCAAATCATTGAAAAAAATCAAAAAGAATATTTTCTGATCTGTATCGGGATGGGCTTTCAATTCTTACAAGCAATGGAAAAAATTGTAACATAAAAGAGCAATACATTTTGCTACATAGAACCCTAACCTTAACAAAAGATCTAAAGCAAAGTTGTAAGTAAAACTGAGAAAAAAATAATAATGCCAAATATGGCAGAGAAAGAATTAATATCCTTAAAATAAAAATAAAAATCTTTAAAACAACAAAGTTCTTAACAGGTAAAGTCACAATACTTGTGTGGTACTGTGTGCCAGGCACCATTCTAAGTATTTTACACTGCTATCCTTACTCATTTAATCCTTGTAAACAACTTTCTAAGAAGGGTACTACGGTATTAGTCCCCATTTAACAGATGAGGGGACTGAGGTGTAGAGAGGCCAAGTCACTTGCCTAAAGTGACACAGCTAATAAATGGTGAGCCAGTGCATCTGGCTCTTGGGTCTGAGCACGTAAACTCTTCTATACTATCTAGGAAAAAGATGGGAAGCAGATAGTACACACGAGAGGAAATATAACTATCTGAGCAGCATAAGCTGTTATTTTTCAGTTTCAATGCTAGTCAAACAAGTACAAATGAAAACAATGAGACGCCATGTTTTGTCTTCAAATTAGGAAGATTTTTAAACATTTTAATACTAATAAATACTGGCAGTCCTGGAGTGAGACAGAGACTCCCGCAGACTGCTGGAGTCATGGTCAAATGGCCTTTCTGGAAAGTGTCCTGGCAGCACTCAAAACAGTCTTCAGGAGTCTCAAAAATATCTCTACCCTTTGACCAGGAATTCCCATTCTAAGAATCTAATTTGAGAAAACAATTAGAGAGACAAGGACTCATGCATAAAGATGTTCATGGCAGTGCCATACAAAATAAGGACAAATGAGAAACAACCTACGTATCTGATAATAGGATACAGGTTAAGTAAATTGTTTAATCTCCATAATGGGCAATTAGGCAGCCATTATAAATAAATGTGTATAACAAAAGACACCATAAACCAAACGAAGAGACACACCTCAGACTTCTGGGAGACGACACTTGCGATGCACATAACAACAGCGACTTGTAGAAACAAAAGAACACACAAAGCAAACATACAAATCCATAAGGAAAAGGCAAAGAACCAAGCAGGCAAAGAATGGAAAGAGGCAATCCACAGAAGAGGCGGCGTCAGCGGGCCATAACACACAGCGTAGTTCCATCTCCCAGCAGTTGGGGGAGGGCAAATGGTTAAATTTACTTATCAGATGAGGAAGTCTAAAGGCAGAGAGGGAAGCAAATCCGTATCCATCGCTGATGGGGATGGAAATGACTGCAGCCAGGGGAGAGCTATTTGGCTACGCTTTTGAAAATTAAACCCTCGAGTCCCTGGGGACACATTCTTCCAGGGTCACCCTGTACAAACACCGGGGTGAACAAGGAGACATGTTCAGAGGTGCTCACTGAAGTACTGTCTGTGGTAGCAACCACATTAGGGTTGTTGTATGATATTATTGCATATTATATTTTAAATTGTGTAATAAAACAGCAACAAGGATTCTTGCTAAAGAACTGTCCATCAGAAGGGCACAGAGGAGCACTATGTGATTTATACATAACAGGATACTATGCACAGTTAAAACTAAAATAACTGAACTAGATGTGTAACTGCCAGCTCAGATAAAGTTCAAAAGCAAAGCTGCGTGTCAACAGCAAGTCACAAAAAAAAAAACACATATTTACTTATGTAAATTTTTTAAGTAACCTAAAAATGCCACATAGTATTTAAGGACACGTGCATGTAGAAAAATAGAAAACAAGCGTGCAAATACTTTTAGCACTTCAAAACAGTGGTTACTTCTAAAGGAAGACTGGATGGAAGGGGAGAATGGGAGGAGGGGCTTAAACAGTGTCTTTTTTTTTTTTTTTTAGGGAAGGGCTGACACGAATATGGCAGAATGTTAACTAATGTTCTAAATCTGGGTGGGCATATGTGTCTTTCTGTTAAATTATCTTCTGTACTTATTGAGCTATTTCAGAATTTCAAACAAATGATTTTGCATTTCCTTTTTGACTAATTTACATGTTTGTGTTATAATGGTAAGAGATGAAAGCAGGACAAAAATATACACCAATATTTATAAATTTCACCAATTAAAGGTTTGAGATATCTGAAATAGTTCTAGCGTCAGGAAGATTCTGCAAGTTTGCTTTTCTTTACACATCCAGATTTTTTTTCTTTCTTTCTTTCTCTCTCTCTTTCTTTCTTTCTTTCTTTTTCTTCCTTCCTTCCTTTTTTTTTTGCCATGAAGGTATATTATTTTTATATCCAGAAGAAAAAAAAAAAAACACACAACAGCAGAAAAATGTGGACGAGTTTAGACCCTGGAGAGGGCCCCAAACCCAGGGGAAGTGGGATACTGAGTGGGTGCACCCTGGGCTATCAGAGTCCCCCAGCTTGAAAGCCAGCTTGGCTTCTTTCTGGATATGTGACTCTGAGACTGTTCATTCTTTTATCTACTCAACAAACACCTATTGAGCACCAAATGTATACCAGGCACTGTGCTAGAGATATGGCAGTGAACAAAATGCACATATCCCTTCCCTCTCCACAGAGTGTAGAGTCTAGTGAAGAAGGAACAGTCAACTCGTCACCACACAAATCACTCCTCATGACAAAGTGGAAGGGCCTCGCTTGTAGGAGGGCAAGGGCGGTGACCAGAATCTAACTTGGATTAGGCCACCAGGAACCTGGAGTCCAAAGGATGGGGAGGTTAGGAGGCTCAGCAAAGGGAGGGGTTCAAGAGAAAGGAAGTTCCTGCAGGGAATGTTTGAGGAACTGATGGAAAGGCGGGGTTCTGAGTGCAATGAGGAAGCGGGAAGCTTTGCAGGGGAGGCCAGGAAGAGTCAGAAGCAGGTCTCTTGGGGCCTCCTTGAGGACTGTGGGAAGTTACTGAGTGATGCGTGATTAGATGTGCATTTGTTGGCCAGGCTCAGTGGCTCAGCCTCTAATCCCAGCGCTTTGGGAGACCATGGTGAGTAGATTACCTAAGTCCACAGGTTCGAGACCTCCCCGGGCAACTTGGAGAGACCTCATCTCTACAATAAATCAAAAATTAGCCAGGTGTGGTAGCGTGCGCCTGTAGTTCCAGCTACTTGGAAGGCTGAGGCGGAAGGATCGCTGGAGCCCAGCAGGTTGAGGCTGCGGTGGCCAGGACCATGCCACTGCACTCCAGTCTGGGTGACAGAGTGAGACTCCAACTCAAAAAAAAAAAAAAGATGTGCATTTGTCAAAGGTTGCCTCGATGTTCTTTGAAGGTCCTAGAAGATGGGAGCAGCCCAGCTGGTTGGCAGGCCATTGGCATGGCCCAGGTCAAGGAATGGTGATCTGCAGAGAGGAGGGAAGGACTTGGGATATTGTTGAAAGCAGAGGCAGCAGGTCTTGGTGATGGGCTTTCTGTTTGGGTGGCAGTGAGGGAAGGGCCAGACAGGAAAGCCAGGTTGGGGCATGGTCAGCTATGGGCTGATGGGAGTGGAAAGCACACCTGGGGGTGGGCAGCAGGGTGGCAGCTGGGATGAGGGCTGCCCAGTGTCCTTGAGCTCTGGTATCTTTGTGTGTGAACTGGGGTTGCCAACACCCTTGGGGTGAGCATCTCAGCCTGTTGTTATCCATAAGCCCTTTCCTCTCTTCCACAGGTGGGGTGTGCTACTCTTGGGGCTGGAACGAGCATGGCATGTGTGGAGATGGTACTGAGGCCAACATCTGGGCCCCGAAGCCCGTGCAGCGTCTGCGGTCATCATCGGGACTCCTGGTGGGCTGTGGGGCTGGCCACTCCCTGGCCCTCTGCCAGCTGCCAGTGCAGCCTGCACTGGGCCAGGATGGCAAAGTCACCTACCTTTCCCCAGATACCCCCGAGGACACCGAATCTCAGGAAGCCATGGACAAAGAAACTGGAAGAACCGTCAGAAACTTTAACCCAATGCCAACATGACAGCTCTGGAAATGGGGGACTGTGATAGAGAACAATGAATAAACTGGCTTTTCCCACCGAAAGCTTTCCTTGAGAAGTGCTGTGTTGGGCTGTGAGGCTGGCCTGGGAAAGGCTTAGAGGGCACCAGTGTCTGGACTGACCACAGGCAGCACAATGGGAGGCTGGCTGCCTGGGGTATGGTTTCTGAGGAGACAGGCATCCTTTCTACTCAGCAGATGGGAATGAGGGGGCATGAAAGTTAAGGCCTCAGCAGGAAGACTTCAGCTGTCCCCACCTGATGGAGATGGAAAAGCCAGTCCTGTCCCCATGGTCATTGTGGTCCCACAGCCTTGATTCAGCAGGACAGACAGTTCCTAGGCCAAACTTAGAGCAGCTTCTGCCTCTCCTGGGGTCTTATTCTCAGGGCCCAGAGCACAGCATTTGCTGGCTCAAGCATATCGAGGTACCCTGCTCAGATGGTTTGGTACTTGGACAGGAAAGAGTTTTTATCTGGGGAACTAGAACTAAGGGAGAAGGTTCTGGAGAGGGAGTAGAAGGTATAGAGATGAGTAAGTGGAGGAAGAGTCAAGACTTCTGGAAAGACCCAGTAGAGGAAACCCCTGGGACAGTCAAAAGAGTCTAGAACCAGTGAAGAACTCAGAAGATTTCTCTTGTCTGGGCCAGCCAGAACTCTGGAGCTAGTCTGTGTGAATGTTATTGCCCAACCGTATAGTTTCAGGTGAGGACCAGGTCGCAGTATGGGAAGGGGAGTCTAGGAACAGCAATAGTCAAAGACCCTGACCCCTGGCAGCTGCCGCCCAAGCCCCAGCTTCTGCGGGAGGAGGGCCTTCAGGTGAGATCCCTGGTCCCTGGCTTCCCCCAGGGGCAGCTGTGGCTCTGGGGGACACAGCACCTTTCTCTATGTTGTGACTGGCAATAGGTCCTTAGCCAGAGGACCTCAGAGCCTGGACTTTCCCCAGAGGACTGGGTGGCGATGTCACTAGCTAGCAGCCCAGGCCTGTGGCCCACCATGCCCTGCCCTCCCTTTCTGACTTCGGAGAGGCTGGACCTGTGAAGACTGGGACCCCATGGCTTTGAGAAGCTCCCATTCCCAGGATGTCAGAGCTGTAGGACCCTCCATGACCATCTAGTCTCGTGGACTTCGTGCTGCATTCTTGAGAGCCCTGGGAGTCTCCTGAGAACTCAGTGGCCGCCATGTGGACTGTGGCTTGAGGAGGCCAAGTAGGCAGGGGTCCAGGTTCCCCATCTCCATCTTGCAGCAAACAGTTTAAGTTGGATCTGCTTATTATACGGGGATGCCACAAAAAGTGTATACACATTTTAAGAGACATTAACTATGTATAACTTTTCAAAGTTGAATTAAATTATGGTAGCAATGTGTACGATGTTCACTCAGCCATGCTTCTGCTGTTTTCTTTGTCCTGCCCGTTGCATTCATTTGAGTAATGCCATCTTTTGAGCAAACATCATACTTAAAATGTGTATACTTTTTTTGGCATCCCCACATATTAGGTTTCACATAAGGTTCCATTTGACTAGGGATCTTCAAGAAAGTTTCAGAGCCATTGATCTTAGCCAACATTTTCATTGTTCATGTGGGAAAATGGAGGCCTAAAAGGGGAAGGGACCATCTCAAAGCTGTACACCTCACTCCCAGTCCAGGGTCCTGATTGGGAAGTGACCCAGCCAGGTCCCTGAGTAAGACAAGGGTGGATGGAGGGTAGCCTTAGGAGCAGGAAGGTAGGGATGCAGACCATCCTGAGCTCCCCAGGGCTGAACCCAACGATAGCTAGAGGCTGACCTTGAACATCATGCATGGAGTCCGCCCAATATTGCACCCTGGAAACATGGCTGCCCTGGTCAGCAAAGCCATCGTTCTCCCACCTCCTAGAACCAGTAGAGGCCAGTGTAGCCTTCAAGCACTTTTGGAATGGGAAGAAGGACATCCCCTTATACTCTGAGCTGGTCTTGCCAAGGTAACTAAGCCCACAGAGCTACAGCAGCCACATGACCCAGAGATGGCCCATACTGGAGCAAGCCCAAGGTTATTTTCCACCATCCACTGCCATACAGGCTGGTGGTCTGCATCAGACACACAGACCAGAGAGCAATTCCTCAACAGGTAGTACTCAGGCCCATGCCTCCTAGAAGTTTCCACTCACTAAAAACCAGCACATTCTCATGGCAATGCAGAGCACCCTCCCACCTCTTCAGTACCTGCTGGAAGAAACGAAAATCCCAAGGCCTCTGCTGCCAATCTCAACACCTCTCCCAAGAGAAGAAAGGAGTGTCTTGGGGCTTCTTTCCAGCCTGAAATGGGATCAGGTGGTGCCTCAGTCCCAAGCCTGTTGACCAAGAATCTCAAACTCTCAGAAGTGAGTCAAACCCTTACTGAAAGCAGACAGGGCACAGATAGCCCATGCATGGAAGACACTGTAGACCATCCATCACCTCGAAGTACTCATTCCGCTTTTCCTGACAGTGGCGTTGGGAGGGCAGGCTCTCCCCAAGTCACTTCATGGGCTGGATCTGACGAGTATCTGACAGCACTCACCAGACGATGAGTGGGGCGGCATTCACAGCTTCTCCAGGATGTTTCTCTGTTTCTTTGGTTGCCACTGGCCGTTCTCAGACTTTGTAGATGTCCAGGGCCCTCATTCCTAATAGACCATGAGCTCTTTGAGAGCAAGGGACCAGATCTTGGCCAATTCTGGAGTCCTTTCACTAAGGCTGGGTCCTGGTACAGAGGAAGTGCCCAGTAAATGTAAATGAATGAACTCGGCAGCACACCCTCGGGGTTGAGGTGAAAAGGCTAAATGAGTGGGCTCTGTGATCTCATCACTACCCATCCTCTGCTTTTAGCCCTTTTATCATAACCATTTGATAGTCAATTGATGACAATATCATTCACCTGGTTAGCTAATGAGCCATAGGCGCTATGGCTATTTGAGAAAATACCCATTCATTTCGAAAAATTACTTTTTCCCCAATCAACTAAGTAAATCAGTCTTCACATCCTCCCATGTGAGAAGGAAGGGAAGGAGGAGGGAAGCGGCCCCCATGGCATGCCCCACAGGTCTTTGACCTGGCCCTGGGGTGAGGGTGGAAGGTCAAACACGTGCCATATGTTGCTGGGATGATTCCATGGCACCTGCCACACACTGTCATCTCCTGATCACAAGTGCCCATCTTCTCTTGATGTCCACACCACCCGTGGCCCCAGTGGGTTGTGAGGGCCATGAGACCAACCTCGTGTGAGAGTGCACTTAGGAATGACGAGTCCAGGCCTACGACCCAGAATAAAGCCCTCTCACCAGCCCTAGGCACCCACCACTTATGGATTGAAGTGACTTAGTGACCAACTAAAATGGAGTTAGTGGGCGCGACGGAAAGAGCGCCCTGGTCCTAAGGCACATGTGTGAACTGCTGCAGGCTCACAATTTCAGAGTTGGCTGGGCACGGTGGCTTGCTTCTGTAATCCCAGAGTTTGGGGAGGCCAAGGTGAGGAGATCATTTCAGGCCAGGAGTTTAAGACTAGCCTGGGCAACACAGCGAGACCCAATCTCTACAAAACATAAAATAAAATTAGCCAGGCGTAGTGTTGTGCTCCTGTAGTCCCAACTACTACTCGGGAGACTGAGGGGGGAGGATTCCCTGAGTCCAGCAGGTTGAGTCTGTAGTGAGCGGTGATCACACCACTGCACTCCAGCCTGGGCAATAGAGCAAGAGTTCTGTCTCTAAGAAAAACAACCCCCCAAAAACAGTTTCACAGTGCACCAGAGAGGGAGGAGGTGAGAGTGGCTAGCAAAGTGGTGGGCCAAGCAAGTTGAAGGAGGTGAAACTTCCTTCTTAGGACAAAGGGGTGTTAAAGCAGGAGAGTGCGGTCAGCCAGCTGTGGCGGGGAGTGGGGGTTCAGGGCAGGAGGAGAAGCGGCCCCTTCTGCCAACTCCTAGGGTGTCATGGAGGGCAGGAGGCCAGCTCCTGAGGGCCCTAGGATTTAGGACCAGCAACTCTGGTTTTCCTATATGTTCTACTCTTGGGACCTGACCCAGAGGCCTTAAGTAGCTTGAGACAGCGCAGCCTAAGCTCTGGAGCCAGACTACCTGGAAATCCTGGCTTCGTCCTCCATCATCTCTGTGGCCTTGACCTATCCCTTTACCTCCCTGTGCCTTGTTCTCTCGCCTCCATGATGGGGCTACTGGATGATTGTAAGCCTCCATTAGATGGCATGTGTAAGTGCCCACATGTGGCAGATGCTTGGTGTGTGTTAATTTCCTCTCCCCATTAATGTCCCTGAAAACTCACATTCCAAATGGCTTGTGTGAGTCCTGCCTGGAATCCACCAGAGACACTTCCTTGCTGGTGGGTCCTTAGAGTGGACATTATCGTCCCTGCTGCAGCTAAGGCTGCTTAGCCCGTGCATCCTGTTACTCAGGGATGCCTGGTACAGTCCTGGCAGAGGCCTTACCGTACTCACTGCTCCACTGACTCTGCCCTCTTGGTTCCTGGACTGTACAGGGCACCGGGAAGTTGAGGCCAAGGCTTGCAGGGGATGAGAAACTGTTAGATGAGAATCTGACACCCACCCAAAGCCCCCCACCCATCTGATCATTTTCTCAGACCATGCTGGGAAGCATCAAAAGGACTGACACCCACTTGTTTGTGGCCTGGGGAGATCACTGCCATCTTTGGGCCTCACTTCCTCATCTGTAAAATGCTCGTGACTGCCATGACCATTAGGGACTCTCCACCTGAATGTTCCTGGAGTCTCTAATGGACCAAAAAAGAAGTAGGGCCCTGATCCCCAACTCCACCCCCAAAACCAAGGGCACAACCCACACCAAAGTCCCCAGGAGAGGGCTCCACCCCTCCCAAGATGCCTCCAAGCTGGGAGCGGACATGTGATAAGGGGTCCAGCAAGAGTGCCACGGGGCAGGGCACTCAGATCCGACAGTCGGACCCCTACCTCTCGCTCCATCAGTTTCAAGAATGACCCTAGCAGGGAGGTGACCATGGTCTGCCCATCCAGATTCAAGGACTCATCACTGTGGCGTGATCTATGGAGAACCTTCCACAATTGGGCAACTCCCTAGAGTACATGCTGGTCTTATGTCGGGTCCTCATATGCCCTGTGCCTCCTGAAAGCCACCTCCCTCCCCCGACCCAACAGCATCTGCAGCCTGAGGGGTCACCCTGCCCCACCAGCCTACAGAGGGGCAGCTTCTTAGGGCCTCCTCCCAGCAAGAGGACAGCAAGCACTTTAAGGTAGGTTCTTGAGACCGGAGTGGAGTGGCCAGGGCCCAGGCTCACCCCAGCCTGGCCACAGGGGACCAGAATCGCAACACTGCCTGCAGGCAATAAAAACCCAAATCCATGCTTCATCTCAAAAGTCAGCTTTTTATTATCGGGGGCCAGGGCCCGGGGAGGGAAGGCTGTTATGCTAAAGCGTCGCTGCTCTCTTTCCAGGAAATGTTGTGAGCTGCAGTGGAAGCTCGAGATGTTGCATTTTTTCAACTCAAGCATGTGTTTTTCAAAAATATCCTCCTTCCCCCCACCCCACTAATTTTAGAATCAGACCAAAGCCAAGCTACTGTCCTCTGTTTCTGTTGGGAAAATACTATATTTATTCGAGATGCAGAAGTGTGTCTCTGCAAACCTCCGATTGCTTCAGGAAAACAAATCTGCTTTAGACTATACAGAAACCATGATACAAAATTTATTTCATGCTCGAGTCGCTTTGCATAACATTGGGCATGCAGTTTTTTACTCTGAAGTACTAAATTGCATACAATGCCAGGTTGTGCCTTAATCGAGGTGGAGGAGGGAGCCCCTCCCCCGTTCCTGATCTTGTGATGCACTACATCCTGGCTTTAATATAACACTTGGAAGATCCATACGGTGTTGGTTATCTACTATGAACAATTTGTTATGAAAGTTGGTCGCACTGGATCTACACACCGATAACCTAGACTAGCCGCTGTCGGAGGTCTTGGGAGACGTCCGCTGGGTCACAAGCATGCCAACAGAGGGAAGAAGGCGGCAGTGCGAGTTTCCACAATTCTATTTGGAGCAAAGTTCTCGGTTTCCGCGTGAGAGATGCGCTATGAAGGTGAGGTCAATATGACCGATGACTGACCGACTGCCCTTTTTGGAACCTTGACTCTCGATCTTGTGCACAAAAAGGAAAGCAGTCCATTCCCCCATCCCGTCCCTCCTTCCCGCCCCCACCCCCAGAACTGTACAAGGTTTCTACCGCACGCCATTACAGTTTGGCTCCGCAATGTGTGTAAAAGTAAAGAGCTTTGTAAGAAAAGATAGAACTTTTGCTTTTTCTTTTCATTGTTGTTTAGGGTAATCATACAGTTGCAGGGAGTTGGTGGGTTTGGTTTGCTGGGTTTTCTGTTTAACTTCATGCAAGTCATGCTAAGGAACCCCTTCACCCCCCCTCCCCAAATAAAACAAACGTTTAAAAAAATGAAAAGAAGGAAAAGAAATCCTCTACGGTCAGTTACCATTTGGCCGTAGAAAAAGCTACGTCCGTCCTAGTACAATGCCTGGGCCACTCGGACTCGTCCGGCAAACCTGCATGGCGTGAATTTACTCTGTCCGAGGGTGAGGAGGGGCTGCAGGTCCACCCAGATGCTTAATAGCCACCAGTGTCCTGGGCCAAGCCGCCTGGTCAAGTCACTCTCACAGCCTCTGTCGGCATATACTTAGCAATGACAGGGCTTTCTTTGCAAAGATCTGTATGTAAAGAATACAATTAACACTTGAGCTTCTCTTCTCGGCCTTCCCATCCCGCTTGGTACTTAGTTTTTAAGGAAGGAGGAGGAAAGACAGAACAGCCGCATGCAGAGGCAGGCAGAGTCTTCTCCAGCTGCTTGGTTTTCCCATGCAGTGAGCCAGCCTAGCACGCCTCTTTCTCTGCCTCCGGAGGGAACGGGCTGAGCCCCTACTTCTCCTGCTCTGCACATCAACTCAAACACCTGCATGGCTCATGGCTCAGAATGAGCCAGGGAAAAGCACATCCTTGAAAAGCTCACAGCTCCATGAGTGCACAGGTCGGTGGGGGTGGACGGGGACACTTCACCCTCGGCCTCTCCCAAAGACTCTGGCCCCTAAGCCTCTGAGCGTTCGGGGAATGGGTGTGTCTGGTGGACAGCGGCTGCCACTGCGCTGCCAGCCACTGTGAAGAGCTGGGGCTACTTCTGCCCACACTCCCTGGGCTCTGGCTGGACAGTCAAGAGACTCTCCTGTCTGCTCTTTCAGGCCACACCGATCGGTCCGACATTCAAGGTGAAGGAGACAGGCAACCCGTGAGACCTTACTGAGCAGGGCACACGTTTGCTGGGAAAGGTCTACCCACCTCCCCCCTCACTCCCCAGGGCTGCCCCTGCTCCTGGGCACTCTAGCGCCTCCTCTGGGGAAAAGCCGATTGCAAGGGGCAGCATCAGGCCCATCCATGGCCGGCACCAAGGATGGGACCCCCTGAGGCCGGCAGCTCCGCGCCATGCAGCGCCATGCGGGGAGTGGTACACCGCGCTGGGGCCCCCGGGATCTCTGGGCAGGGCAAAGAAGCAGGGACCAGCCTAGATCGAATGGGCACAACTAAGCACCGGGGACCTAGAGGACTTTCCCTCATCTGAGCACAGGCTGCCTCTCCTCCTCTGGGTTTGTCTTGGAATTTGAATTTCCTGTTTTTGCCTGTGTACGGGTTAGCCACTTCAAATACTGGAGCAATTGTGAACAGCCACAGGCTACACCAGCTGTTGCTTGCAAAAACTCGCCTCCTTGTGTGGCCCAGCTTGCTCGCCCTGGTCCGCATGCATCCGTGTGCGTGTGAGCGGCCCTCCAAGACATGCACGAGCCACCCAGCCAGCCTGCTGCGCCAAGAAAAGCTTTCTCTGCCTTCCAGGCCTGGGCCGATGCCGGGCCCCTCGAGCTAGGGTGCTCTGGGCCCCCAACCCAAGCCTCTCTCTCCAGTGGGGTCAACCTATAAGGCCACCACCGGCCTCAGCCTTCACCAGCCATAAAGGGCGCTGACCACACCCGGGGCTGTGGCCAGTAGGCACGGGGGGTAGAAGGGGTTGCACGTCCCGCTCAACCTCCTTCTCTTGGCAGATTCTCAGGATTCCATCTGCAAGGACAGTGGCCTTACCCAAGCCCTGAAGCTACTTCTCTCCTCCTGCCTCCCCTCCCGTGGCCTGTGGATTCTCTTTAAAGGATGCCCCTTCCAGAACCTGGAGCTTGGGTAGCTAAACCCATTGGCCCACTCCTCTGCATTCCGCACCCAAGACAGAGGAGCAATTTCCCTGCCTTCTGAACCTGACCTGCCATCTGCCAGAGCAGCCTGGGGGAATCAAGGCTCCCCCCGCATCCTTGGGTATCCCCCGCCTTGGGGTCATGGCCCGTAGTCAGCCTTCCCCTTGCCTCCCCCAGCTCAGTGGGACCCACAGCAGCTGGGACCTCAGGTCCTCTCTGGCAGCCTGACATCCCACGTGGGGGAAAGGGACTCAGCCCTGCAGGGGCTGACCCTGGGAGACTCCCTCCATTTTCGCCCCCCTTGATGTGCCTGCCTGCCCCTCAGCGCCCCTTACCCGCCACCCCGCCCACCCGTCTGCAGGAGCGCGAGGCGGCCCGGCCAATGCACAGTGCTCCAGCTTCCTCTACCTACCCTTTCTCATTCCTCCACCAGGTGGGCACGCGTACTCCCCGGTTGATAAGAGGAAGCAGGGTCCGTATCTCTCGCGGGTGCCCGAGCGCGTAAAGGGCAGGCCCTCATCGGGAGTGAGGGCCTGGTCTATGTGGGGGCAGTCTTCGTTCGCCAGCGCGGCCTTCGCCACCTCCCCATTCAGTTTGGAATCTTCAAACATATAAGCAGAAGCTATTGAGACACCGAAAACTGTTTAGTTGGGGGGAGGGGACAGGCCAGAGGTGGGGACATTGGTAAAGGGCAGCCCCTCCCTGAGGACAGAAAAGCGGGTGGGCCGCGGAGGGAGGAGGGTGCGAGACTGGGTCGGGGGCTGGGGGAATCTGAGCTCCTTCAGGCAACCTTCGGGCTGCCCAGATGCTGGGAGAAAGGGACTCCTGGGTTTGCTCAAAGTTTGCAAAAAGATGAGTAGGTGATGGGTCCAGCAGACGCTGTGCTGGGGGCCGGCCCAGGGCCCAGGTGGGCCGATGAGACAGGATGGTGTGGATGCAGGCATGGGGGAGGGCCAAACACAGGACTCGGGAGAAGACAGACAGACACACAGAAACACTCCAGTCCAGAGAGGCGGCCTTCTCGGCCCCTCTGCTGTCCACCAGAGCCTGGTTGCCTCCACCCACATCCAGCCAGTCGCTCGGAGTTCCCGGCCCCATCCAGACCGTCTGACCCTCTCTGCTCCATTCCCCATCTGGATCCCACCTGATCCCTTGGTTCATGCAGACCCCCCATCTGATCATTCCACCTGCCTCTCCAGCCATACAGACCTCATCTGCTCACTCTGTATACAAGGCCAGGCCTGGTCACAAGTCTCCTCTGTCCCCATACAGACCCGATCTGGTCACTCTGCATGTCCTGTCCCCCGTACAGACCAGGCCTGGTCACAGGGTCTCCTCTGTTCCTACATGACCCCATCTGGTCACTCTGTGTGCTCTGTCCCCTATACAGACCAGGCCTGGTCACACAGTCTTCTCTGTCCCCATGCTCACTTGATATGGCCAATGTATTTGCCCTGTCCTCCATTCAGACCAGACCTGGTCACAGAGTCTCCTCTGTCCCCATCTGGTCACTCTGTGTGCCCTGTCCTCCGTACAGACCAGGCCTGGTCACACAGTCTCCTCTGTCCCCATAGAGATCCAATCTGCCCACTGTGTTTGCCCTCTCCCTCATACAGACTAGGCCCGGTCATGCAGTCCCCTCTGTCCCCATATGACCCCCTCTGGTCATTCTGCATGCCCTGTACCCCTACAGACCAGGCCTGGTCTTATGGTCTCCTCTGTCCCCATGCAGAACCGATCTGGTCACTTCACCTTCTCCCTCCCCGACACAGGCCCACGCTAACACTCAGTCCACTCTGGTCCCCCATACACATCAAGCCAGTGTCTTCCACTCCGCACCGCCCCAGCAGGCCTGGTCAGCTTGCACAGGCACAACAGGGATGTATGCATGAGGCCGTGACAGCGGGACATGGCTTTGGGAGGGGCTCCCATTCCTCTGTCCCTTCTAGTCAGTGTCCCCGGCAAAGCAGAGCAAATGAATGTGTAGAAGACAACAGCAGCTGATGGACTTGGGTGGGGAAAATTCGAATCTTGGCCTCTGTGGTAGCCTGAGAAGGAACCTGGGAAAGAGGTTTGAGGGCACATTTGGTTGGGGGGAAAGTGTGGCCACAGCAAGGAACACTACCTCTCACAGTTCTAAGAGCAGAGCTGTGGAGGCCTGAGGGGACGGCAGGGGTAGCCCTGACTGGCCTTGGCCTCCACCCCATCACTCTTGGGGACTGAGCCTGCTCCACACTCTCTGCCCTCAAAGCAGAATGTTCCTGGCTGTGGTGGAGCCAACTCCAATACTTCATTAGGGTGAGAGCCTCAAGGGCAAGCCCTTTTGTGGAAGAAGGAAGTCAGCTTGGGCGTGACCACGTCAGGGGAGGCTTTCTGGAAGTTTAAAGAGGGGCAAAAGCTGGAGACATTGTCCGCCCGATTTGACACTCTTGTGATCCTGTTCACATCATGTAACTACACGCAGAGGTGATCCTTCCCCGCGTGCACACACTTAGCGTGCACGTGGGTGGGACACCCAGCCGTGTACACATCATGTCACTACAAAGAGGCAGTCAGTCAAAAGAGAAATGGACCAATCAGGTTTATTCATAAAGCAAATCCAAAAAAAATCCCATCATAATTTTGGAACTTAAAAAAAAGTCTCTCATACAGGATGGCAAAGCATTTCACGTACAGTGCGTTTCTTGACAGATCCCAGGGGCTTCACTTCCCAACTGATTCTGAACCAGAAAGGCCAGTTACCAAGGGAGCCCTGACACCACGTGACTGGGGCCAGGGGTCTCTCTGGGGTCTGGGGGCTGCCTCGCCCATGGGTCACGTTTGCGGGCACACATGTGTGCTCCCAGACATGCCGTCCTTCCTCCCACTCTGGTTGGCCCCCGTCTTCCTTCCAAGGGTCTCCGGGCAGAGGGGGTAGGAGGCTGGGGAGGGGAGGGACACAGTATGGAGGGGACGTGGATGAGGATGTGCAAGTTGAGGCCCACAGCACCCTGCGTGACTTTTCCTCAAGGGGAAAACGATGAGTCCTCCTGAGCAGCATCTCCGTCAGGGATGGGAGTGAGGACCCGCTGTCTCTTTGCTGGTCAGCAGAGGTAGTCACATCCTGCAATTCTTGCCCAGGGGATGGGGCAAAGGTGAGTGCCCCCTCTCTGCCCCTGCCTCCGCCTCCACTCTGCCCACCAGCCACCATGCCCTTGGGATCCCAGCCCCCACAGCCTCTAAAAGGCCTGAAGTCTGAGCTATTTGCCCTGCAGGGGCAGGCAACAAGAAGCAGCCATCAGGGATCCCTGGAGGGATGGGAGCTGATTACCTTTCCCTCTTCAGGGGATTCCCAAGTCCCCCCCCCCCAGGCCTGCTTCTTCTCTCAACCCTGACCTTGGAGGAGGGGGCATTAAAGTCTTACTCTGTGAAGGAGCCTGGCCTCCTTGGGCTGTGGGTCTACCTGTGGGTAGATGCTCTCAGAAACTGGGGCATACTCCCTCCCCAGAGGGGTGGTTGGAAGAGAGGGAAGCCATCGAGGGGCCTACTGTCTAAATGTGGAGAACCCCTGAAAAGGGCCAAAAGTATGAGCCCCTCCAAGACTCCTCACCCTCCTGCCTCCACGCCCACCTGCTTTCCAGAAAGCTGGGGGTCTGCCTCCCCTAGCCCAGGGCCTCAAGACCCACTAGACCCACTGGCCAGCAAGGATGGGATGACAGCATGGGCAGCGTCTCAAAGATGGTTTCCAGGCTTGAAATGGACTGAGATGAGCATCCGCGAGAGGGTCATTTTTTTTTAAACTTTGGAGCAAGGAGAACCCGAGGCTGGGCCCTCGGCCAGCAGGGCTGGCTGTTCTGCCCTGGTCTCCAGGCACTGCCGAAGTACTTACTGTTCACACCAGCAGCTGGCACCCGGGGCACACGTGGGGCTGGGGTGGGGTGGGGGTGGCTGGGCATTTCCTGGGGTTTAGCCCCCAGGGATCTGCCCAGCTGGGGGCTCAGGAAAAAAGTCCCAGGCTAAATGGGAAAACGTGTGAGAGACACGAGCAGGGCACAATCACGAGAACCAGCACAAGGCATGCAACAAAACGAGGAGAGAAAGAGAGAAACATGATTAGTGGAGAGAGAGAGAAAGAGAGAATGTGAACAACACGGAAAAGAATACCCATGCCTGGCCCTCAGAGTCCACCATTCCTCCGCTGCTCCCCCCATAGCCCACCTGGGGCAGTGAGGACCTGCTCAGGGCCCCTGCAGCTGAATCCATGCAGAAACTCAGCCCCACGCCCTGCCTGGTCAACCCTGCCCCCAACCCGGCCCCTCCCTGCCCCAGGGATAGCACCACTCACTAGGCAACCACTGCAGCCCAGCAGGGGAAGGTGGAGGGGCTGGACATCAGGAACCTTGGACCCTCCTCAGCAAGGATGACCCCAAGGCTGCCGTGGGATCTCCCAGGGGCCCAGGCAGGGGCTTCTCTTGAACCTCACGGCTGCTCTGTGGGCGTGGGCAAGAGAGGAGACTGGCCACCATCTCTCCCTCCTGGCTGGTCCCTGCTTGCCTATATGAGACCCTACAGCCCTGGACGCAGCACCACAAAGGACTGACCCACATCACAGGAGGAGGTGGACAGGACACGCAAATGGACGTGGCAGGACAAGGGGAGTACTCTGAGCTGTCCAGAGCAGGTGTCTGGGCATCCGACTAAAGATGAGAAGGGAACCCCTTTCTGGGAGAGGAGCAGCTTCTCCCCAGCCCTCAGTCCCAGGTGGTCCCTGGCCATGTTGGGGCACCCTCCTGTTTCCTCTGTGAGGTCCCACAGCCAGGTAAGAATTGGACCCTTGACAACCCTCCAAGGACAAGAACCCCAAACACTGGAGCCAGGCCAGTCATGGCACAGAGGAGACAAGATCATCCCTGGGACAGACACACAGACTGAGGCTTCAGGAGAGACCAGAGGTGGAGGTGAGGGGCAGGTGCTGCTGGCACGACTGGGGCAGCCTGGGGCAGCCTGGGGCAGCCTGGGGCAGGGTGGGATGCCACACTTGGCCCTGACCCAGGTTTTAAGAGTGCAACTGGAGAAGCCCAGGTGTTGGCGAGGTCACTTGACTGCCTTGGAGGTGGAGTGAGGCTGGAGAAGCCTTGGGACTGCATCTCATCTCCCACAATTCCTGGAGAGCCAGCACACCTGACCTCCTTGCCACGCCCCCCCAAATCACTCTCACAAACTCACCCCACCCCATGCCTGTCTAGGAACACGGCTGCAGGCAGACGAGGAGGCAAATGGGAAGGACTCAGGGCTGCAGATAAGATGAGTTTGCCTCTAAGGACTACACCCCCTCTTCGTGGTGGGTGGCCTAGGTCACACAGGTCAGCTTTTGGAGGGAGGAGTGTTCTGGTGAGGAATGAGTCTTAGGGCGGGTCTTGGAGCTGAGGGGAAGGGGTCTGGCCACCAGGGCAGTGCCAAGACCACCAGGGGAAGTGGGTGCTCGGTCAGGGTGGGGGATAGAGATGGAGGGCTGGGAAGATCCAGGCATCCAGGCTCCAGAGGGCAAGCTTGGGAGGGCCCCAATACCTCCTCAGCCACAGAGGCTGTCCAAGCCAGAACTGTCTGGGCCGCTGAGACTCAGGGTAAGTGGCAGGGTTGGAAGGCTAGGTGGGGCCAGGAGCCAGGAGAGGCCTAAGGAGTACATGGGACTTCTGGGTCTGCTACAGCGTGTGTCCCTGGGACTAGCTGCTGGGCATGGCTAAACACACGTCTGCACGTGTGCACATGCCTCTTCAGTATGGATAACACTGTCATTGTCTAAGAGTACAGGGAATCTGGGCCTGACTGGAGAGTACTGGAATCCAGATGCCCTGGGGCACCCATGCTTGGGGCATTGATCCCGAAAGATCTGGTGTTGGGGAGGACGCATGAATGGGCTGAATCGTGCCGTGGTGATACTACCCAGGCTGAGTGCTTCCTGCTGGGCCCATTGTGAGGCTGGGGGCTGGGCCAGGCTAGACCTTCCCCCAGAACCCCAGGAAGTTTCCTGGCCTCAGTGGTGGCTCCCAAGGTCCAACGGCTACTGATGCAAGGCAGAGCAGTGGGCCACCTGCTTCGGTATCTGAGAGCCCTGTCCAGTCCCGGCCCAGCCCCAGACACCAGCCGCATTCCTCTCAGGTGCCTCTGGGAATCCCGGGAAGGGGAGGGTATGGGGCAGGGCGAAGGGGCTGGAAAGGCCGTGTGGGCCAAGAAGTGGGCCCTGGGGCTCATCACTGTGGGAGACATTTAGGAAGGGATCTGGTTGGTGTGGTGGGTCAGAGGGTGTGACAGCAGGGAGGGAAATCAGTCATCCACGGGGGGAGGCCACACAAGCCAGGGGGAGCGTCCTTGTCCAGGGCTGAGCTAGCCCCGAAGCCCCCTGCCAGGCTTGGGCATGGGGCTTATCTTTCACAGATCTAAACACTACCTATGCTCTCACATCAACCTCCCGCTCACCCGGGCATCCTCACTCAGCATTGTCACTCTTCTCTGGGTCATCTGTTCCTGTGAAATCCCTGTGTCCACAGAATAAGTCGATGGTATTCCATGGGTAGAGGTAGACTATGGGCTTCATATCTTCGGACCAGAGCCCCGTGATCAATTTTATGTGCTATGTGCAGGTTCTCATAAAACTGAGATAGTCCCATAACGAACCACTAGCCATGGAATATTAGAATATATCCCACGGTGACTAGTATTGTTTCATGCCCCCCTCCCCCCTCCCCGGCCCCCAGGGAATTCCCAGGAAAGTGGGCGTACACTGGCTGGGATGTCTGTATTGCTGCTGCTGTCCCTACCGTCGGACGTGGGGAGGACCCTCAGTGGGAGGCTGTGGCTGGGCTGTAATGCTTTCATCTAGGCTGCCCAGGTGGTGGCCCCTCTAGGTCTCTGCTCACCAGCCGCTTCCATCAGGAGATCACCGGAAACTCCCACTCGACCATCAACCCAAACAGACAACGTGAAAGCTAGAGTCACTCCGACAGGTTCCTAAAGATAAACGCTAAACTCTAGAGTGGTGGTAGAAGATGAGTTGGTTCGGCATGCTATGGGGTAAGTAAGCTTGTCACAGAGGGCTGGAGGCGGCTCCTGGAGGGGCCGGGAGCTAGGCAGCCGGAATCGGAGCAGGAATTCTACTCAGCTACGGAGACAGACTCTGGTGGGGGCGAGAATCCTTGCTCCTGCCTTGGCAAGGGACCCTCCTGCCCAGATCCCATGCGCCATCTCTGCCATCTACACAGCCCGAAGGGGGCCGTGTTGAGGACCAAATCCAAAGCTGTCTGGCATTTCCGAATCACACCCGCCCCCACCCGCCCCAACACCAGGTCGGTAGCCTGAGTCAGAGACTCACGCTTGACTCCTGTCCCCCTAAGCAGAGCCCCCCGGGCTCCTGCTAAGATAATCCTTGGCAACCTCACAGACGCGGCATCTCCTCAGAACATCACGAGACCAACCGCGTCAACCTCCTTACCCAGGGCCACCAGTGAGGTTCCTCAAGTAGGCTCTTGCTTTCTGAATCTGGCTGCCCAGCATCCCCCTGGGCTCCCAGGCTCCACACCTCGAGACTGAGTGCGGGGTCCGGGTCACCCACGGAACTAAGGAAGCAGTCTGACTGGATCTGGAATCATCGCTACGGGGGCGGAGGTGAAAGGTCAGATCGACATGCCTCTAAGAGGTTTCCTACCTGCTCTGTTAATTTCTAAAATTTCTTCCTGGGCCAGCGGACATGTGTCACTCTGAGTACTGTGATGTGGAGAGTTTACGACAGATTTACAATAATTGGGAGATCCCAGCTGCGGTGGCCGCGGAATATGCTTCTTTTTTTTCTTTGGTAGTTTCTGCTTAGCCATGGCTAAGGAGTAATACATCCCGAAATTGTTCACGATGACGGGCACGGGCATGGCGATGGTGAGCACACCTGCCAGCGCGCACAGCGCCCCCACCAGCATGCCAGACCACGTCTGCGGGTACATGTCTCCGTAGCCCAGCGTCGTCATGGTGACCACGGCCCACCAGAAGCCGATGGGGATGTTCTTAAAGTGCGTGTGCTCACTGGCGCTGGGGTCATTGGGCTGCGCCCCTATCCTCTCCGCATAGTAGATCATGGTGGCGAAGATGAGCACGCCCAGGGCCAGGAAGATGATGAGCAGCAGGAACTCGTTGGTGCTGGCGCGGAGCGTGTGGCCCAGCACCCGCAGGCCCACGAAGTGGCGGGTCAGCTTGAAGATGCGCAGGATGCGGACGAAGCGCACCACCCGCAGGAAGCCCAGCACGTCCTTGGCCGCCTTGGAGCTGAGGCCCGAGAGGCCCACCTCCAGGTAGAAGGGCAGGATGGCCACGCAGTCGATGATGTTGAGGCTGCTCTTGAGAAACTCCACCTTGTCCGGGCAGAAGGTGATGCGCATGAGGAACTCGAAGGTGAACCAGACCACGCACACGCCCTCCACGTAGGTCAGGAAGGGCTCCGTCTCCACCTCCACATTGGTGATGTTCTCCGGCGGAGCGCCCGGGATCGGGGAGGCCTGCGTCACTGTCTTGTTGCTGATGTGGATGAAGCCCTCGTGGGTCTCCAGGCAGAAGGTGGTGATGGAGATGAGGATGAAGAAGAGCGAGGCAAAGGCCACGTACTGCGGACAGGGCGGGAGGGGGGAGCGGTGACCCAGGTGCCTGGCCGGCCGTCTCCGCAGCACCCTTCCTGGTGCGCCCTCTCCCGGCCGCCCCGGCCCAAGGCAAGGTCCAGGTGCCCCATCCCCGTGGCCCCATCACTTCCAGCATCCTGTTCTCGCGGAAGCTGGCAAATGGGGAGAGACAGGAGCAGAGGCAGTGGGAACGGAACTGGCCCCAGCCGACGCGGCAGATGGGCAGCCTCTTCCTTGGAAACATTTCGGGCCCCCTGCTGTCTCCTAGGCCACCTTCCCCCACCCTCCTGTTCTGTGTCCTAGCCCAAGGCTCCCGGGCACGATCCATGGGTTCTGCGTCGGGACCGGGGCCAGGGTTCTAAGATCACACACCCTCTGTGTCTCAGAGGCTTTGGGGTGCAGCGAGGAGCTGAGGGAAGGGGGAGGGGAGGCAGCCAGGGAGGAGGGTCAAGAGTCAGAAAGCCTGGGTCTGAATCTGGTCCATAACCTGCCATACTCAGGCAAGTGGATTGAGCATTCCAAACCTCAAGTCTATTATGGGATTGTTGTGAGGACTCAATTAGATGAGCGTACGAGCTTGGCTCCAAAAACTGCTTGACCCAGTGCCTGAAGCATAGTAAGAAAGTCTGAGCTGTTATTAGGGCATGGGGCAGCAGTCAGCAGGGGGCAAGGTCAAGGCCTCACCCAGAGAACAGGGCAGGATGGCACCACAGAGGGGAGGTGGGGGGTAGGGCCCTGGAGAGGGACAGGGTTGG